ATAGAGCTGGCTGGTGTACTGGTTGAGAATAGAGTCACTATAGCTGTCTGTGTACGAAGTGGAGATGTTGGATGGGACGGGAGGAGGGATGTGGGTTTCCCATTTCGGCGAGTACGAGCCATACGCCCCAGTCTGAGAAGATCTCTGACTCAAAGGCAAAGCTAGAGGAGATGGGAGAAGAGCCTCTCTTGAGCCTTTAGCCACATCACCCATTTGACTTAGAAAGCCATTGAGACAAGGAGTCGGATCTGTGGAAACCGGAGAGTTTCCTCTCTCTGAGGTATCACTGGGCTCTTTCGGACTCGATAGTGCCGAGTCCGATCCAGAATAGCCTTTTCCCTCCTCTTCGGCCAGAGAGTCAGACTTTCTCTTCCTCTTGCGACGGAAGTTGCCATTATCAAACATCTTCTCACAGTTTGGGTCAAGGGTCCAATAGTTGCCTTTGCCTGTTCAACAGAAGAAACCTTGTTATTTTGGCAGTGGAAAAATGAACTAGAACTCAACTAAAAAGCAAGCAGTTATATAAGAAGAAGTTTAAACATGTTCTAACCTGGATCGCTGTCATCTCTGGGTACTTTCATGAAGCAGTCGTTGAGTGAGAGATTATGCCGGATTGAGTTCTGCCAGCTGGCTTTGCTCTTGTTGTAGAAGGGGAAATTGTTAGCCACATACTGGTAGATCTGGCTGAGAGTGAGGCGACGGTTTGGGGCTCCGTGTATTGCCATCGCAATAAGTGCTGAGTAAGAGTAGGGCGGCCTCACAAGTTTCATCAGATCTTCTTGGGAAGGCAGGGAGAACCAGCTGAAACCACCTTCCGAGCCTCTGATTCCACCTGCGGCCACGTACGGCTTTGTCATCCCATAGTGCTGAGGAGCCGGATTGATCCCGGGTCCATTGAACCATAGGTAAGGGTTGGAGGTCTGGCCAGCGTATTCTACAAAATCGTAAGCGGACGGCAGAGTTTGCTGTGGACTAGGCACAGGCTGAGTGCTGTAGAAGTTGTCACCGTACAGGCTGAATTCTTGGGACTCCTGCCCCATGCTGTGGAATTGTGGTGAAAGGGCTTGTGGAACAAATGACGTCATGCTTTCCTCTTTTTTCTTCTGTTTGTTCTGTCGTTCTGAGAGAAAACACCTCCTTCTGCTCTGCTGCCTCTAACACAGGTGGATTGGTCAGGTGCATCACAACCTGACACCTGTCTCACCTGAACTATTTATACAAGTTTTGTAACACCCTCTTTGCTCTGATTGGCTGTTACGGTCACACCTCATTTGTATGGGGGGGGGTTGATATATCAGTAGAATATCTTAAGTTTCATGAGTGACTTGGATGGATTAACTTGGTTAAATTCCTGAGTTAAAATTGCCTTATATTACATGAAAATATAAATAATTATTCCATATCATTATAGTACACAACAAAGAACCTTTTTCAAGTCTCTTATGTTCACTGTAAGTAAAATGGAACAGTTTTGGTAACAGTTTTTTTAAAAAGTAGCACAATTTACCTGAATATTTCACACCATACAAGGTGATTATTGTGTGTTTATAGTGAAAGCAGTGACTGACAAACAAACAAACAAATAAATAAATAAAACTGTTGGAATTTTACTGTGAGTAATGCCTGTAGTAATGTCCAATGTACAAGTAATGTCCAATGTGCTAGCAAATTTAAGTAACTAGCTAAATATGTTGATAACTACGTGGTTTCAGTGGCATTATAAACATTAAAGACGCACCATCTTGCAGTTTTTCTTGGTTGATTTGCTTACATTTTAAGATCACTTCACTTGTAGCCTGAGATCTTCGGACCGGCTTCTATTAGTGGTTCCCAGATCTAGATCAAAACTTAGAGGGGATCGTGCTTTCTCGGTTGCTGCACCCAAAGTTTGGAACTCTTTGCCCTCAATTGTATCAGATCCGCCCAGACGATCTCTAGTTTTAAATCTGTATTAAAAGCTTATTTATTAACTAGGGCTTTTAATTCTCCGGCGATTAATTCTTAGGTGTGTTCTTGTTTTATGTTTTCTTGTTTCATTATGTGTTTGTTTTATACTTATGCCCATCTTTTGTTATTTTATTTTCTTGTGATGTACAGCACTTTGGGTAACCTCGGTTGTATTGATATGTGCTAATACAAATACCAATACATTTGGGGGGTGAAACGTGCCCCTCATTTCTGTCTGGTGCATGCTGCCAACTGTAGTGACCAAATAATTTAAAAGCTGTTTTTTAAATACGTTTAAACCACTTTTACGGTGCGCTTACATTTAGCATTGTTCCACGAATTTTAGTCGAATCATTCCAATAGAAGCATCATCGGGAGTTTCTCGTGAGGACGAACAAGTTCCCGACACAGATTTCGATCATTTTCAAGTTGGTCACGTGAATTCGCCGTGTTGACTAACCGAAAGCTGCTTGGTGTGAAAGTGACTGTGTGAACAGTGTTTCATATATCGCTATGCTATGGACCTAGTTTACCAACGACTGTTTTGACATCACATCTAAAATAAGATCACATGTAAAATATGTAGCCTATCATTACCTTCAACTGCAGTAATGGACTCTCTCGAAGCACATGATTTTGGAGGAAAAACGGAGATTGAAATATTTTTTTATTTGTGTGAGTTAATAATTCCTTGCATCCTCGAGTTAACCGGGTGTCATTCACACAGAAGCTCAGGAGGACTGTTGCTATGACCGCTTACTATTGTTTTTAGGTTTGATTTATTTTTGCCTAATCTGATTCATCATGTTATTAAGAATTATAAAAAACGAACCAGTTCTCATTTCCAAAATTGTTATAATTAGTAAAAAATATATATTTTGGGTTTGTTTTACGAGATTTGGCAACACAGACCACTACATGTGTCGTAAGTAGTTTGATAGGCTTAATAGCATTTAGGGAAACGGTGACCTGCGTGAGTCCTCAAATTATTAATGGAAGGTGAACAGAATGATTTCACAGGAATAAAACAAAACACAAATCCCTGCCGATAGTTAGCATGATCAGGGCCGGATTTACCTCTTTTCGTGACATTGGCTAAACAAATTTTTGGGCCCCCCTTCCCTATTAATATAATAGGCCTAATATTACCACCCAAGCAAACAAAAATATTTCTTAATCAGTGGAACCGTTACAGTGTTTTCTATCGCAATAAGCGCTTGCGTTCAGTCAATAAAAATCGAATGTAGCTCTAATTTGTTTGAGAACTCAGAAAGACCATTCCATTAATAGGCACAGT